TGGCAAATCTTTTTAGAGTATATGGATCAGTGGCATCGACCAGCGTGTAACTGCTTTGCTAATTTAAGTAAGCCACGAATACATTAAGTGGCAGCGAGAAGCAGCTGCAACAGATGTAATAAAGAAATTTTGGGAAAACAAAACATACCAGAGATAATTGGAGTAATAGAATGCATGCATATTTCAACCAAAAGGTGAACACATCATGGAGAATACTATTTTTGGGTGTGTTCACCAATATAGTGGCCAGTGTATGCGTTTTGCACAATATTTGAGTATATATGGATGATTTGTATGAAAATCATGACGTAAACAATAGTACAGAAGAACATGAAGAGAATCGGATCTGTTCACAGATTATGAAATAAATCAATCAATATATAGACGACAAAATATTTTTAATTATTTCATGAGTATAATAGGGGTATTCAGGCAACTGATTAGTTGCTTAGTAGTTGATTACAGCAAAAATTTGCACACAAAAATGAAACTAAGTAGAGAAACAACTAATTCGGTGATTCTCAGATTAGTACAAATTTGATAAATAGTGCTGCCAGTCCCAAGTGTCGTAATAATAACTTAAAATGAACTTTTGTATAGAAATTTGTTAGCTATCTCTCTCAGCTGTTTGAATTGTGTGCAAACAATTTTCGCTGTTAACGTATGTTTCGCTTTTGCTGTTGATGCGAGTGCTGCCAAGGCATTTACACACAACAAACTAATCAGATTACGCATTTTGGGTCGTTCAAGCAACTGATTAACATCAAAATGCTGAATTTTTTTATATGAAGTTTTTGAATCAACTAAGCAACTAATCAGTTGCCTGAATACCCCTAATATAATTTGTAAACTTATATATTTTATATGTTAAGTATAAATAAAATATATAAATATAGGTGTAAATAAAATATATAAATATAGGTGTAAATAAAATATATCTTATTTATAGACTATAAAATATTTCAATCGCTTTTCTATCTTCTGTTCCTTCCGCCACTGCTTCTCTAATCTGTTCATAGATTGTTTTCTTTGTTGAGCCTTTTTCATCAACGCAACTTTTTTCAATTTCAGCTTCTGCCTGTAGTAGTGGTTTTGAGTTGAATGTATGCGTCTACCTCCTACAACTTAGCTGGTTCCAGATGAAATCGGTGGTGATGAAGACAGTTGTTGCGGTGAAGATGGTGACGACTCGGCAACAGACATTGGCGACAGTATAAAAGATAAAGATGAACCAATTGGATCGGACAGTGTATCCACTTGTAAAATTCCTTCATTAGAGTCGAGTACCATATTTATTCTTTCAAACCCAACTGCAATTCGAAATAGATAAAAATAAATTTCAGAAATAACATCACTAGTTACTGCTAAATTTGCAGTATTTAACAGTAGGGGTATTCAGGCGACTGATTAGTTGCTTAGTAGATTCTCAGAAAATTTGATTATTAGTGCTGCCAATACCAAGTTCGGGGCTATGGGCATAAGGTGTCTCAAAAAGAAAATTAAAAAATAATAACATAATTTAATAAATAAAATTCAGTAAAACTATAATTTTTAAAAGGAAAAAATATAATTATATATATGATAAGATATATTATATGTAAATTTAAATGATATTAGAATTTACGAATGTTTGAGTATTTCACTGTAAACATATATTTCGCTTTTGCTATTGATACGAGTGCTGCCAAGCATTTGCACACAACAAAATAATCAGATTGCGCATTTTAGGTCATTCACGCATCAGATTTTTATCAAAATGCTAATTTTTTATATGAAGTTTTTTAATCTACTAAGCAACTAATCTGTTACCTGAATACCCCTAGTATTTGTATTTATTCGCAGGACACAGAAATTAGAAATAAATTAATAATTAATTAACCTTTTCGCAATTACTAAACTGTCAGTTATTTTCACAAATATTATTAAAAAAATTACGTTCTTAAAATATATATATTTAGTTATTAACAGTCGCAACAGTTTTAAATATTAAACACCTGACTGCAGTTTTCCATCTTTCAAAAATCGTTCACAATAGATCAGTTTCAAGATTTAACATCATTGTAATGCAAGGGACTTATTCGTTAAGCACTTTCAGGAAGGTAAGCTTAATTTAACGTATTTCGTTTTTGCTGTGCATGTTAATTTTTAAGCACCACGTGTTTTATTAGAGCGATCATGCCCAAAGAATACGCCTATTGATAATAATAGCTCTATTAATTCCGTTATAGATACATGTGCAAAGAATACCTTACAAGAACGGCAACTCCATTGTGAACTAAAATTTGTTTTTTCGCACAACAACAATTTGCCGTAGAGCTCTTGAAAGTGTTAGTGAAAAGTGCACTAACACCAGCTGAAATCATTGAAATTTTTCACCTTTTCACCTTTTTCCGATGCTTCGAGTACTTTTGAGAACTGAATATTTCAAAAAGTTTACCATGAAGATTGTAAGAAAGAGTGTGGTTTTGTTTTTTGGTTTTGATTTTTTGAGAGTAATATAAAATTTCGTTGCGCCAAATCATACAAAATTTACTGCGCAAATATTTAACAAAAAGTAGTTAAAATTTTGCAAACACTTTAATAGCAGTTACCAAAAAGTAGGTATAGCACAATTTTTATACCAAAAATTAAAAAATATACGTCCATATGTTTGCTGTCAAAACTGCAAAACAGACAGTATTTTAACTCTTTTTATAAGGGTACGCATGTATTTCCTGTTAAAATTTTTTAATAGGGTTCTGAATACATCTGACTATAGGCAAAAGCTCTTGCGTGTAACGCATTCATAGGCTTAGTTTTCCACATGATATTCAGTTGACTTTTACATATAAATTAAATTTTTATTTTAATAATTTTTTTGCTTTTAGTTTATGTATATTTAAATTTGCAATTAATTTTTAAAAGTATTGTAATTATTATTCTGTTAATTTTGTATTTGTAAAAGTCTGTAAAAAATTATAACCAATATATAATGGTGGATATGCCTCTTGGGGAACCGGCACATAAACTCGGTAACGCACCTTTATGCATACCTCTTGGGTGGTGTGGAAAATGCATACCAAATCTTGAACTTTGGTCGAATAAACTACATAGCTAAATAAACTAAATGTAGAAATAGGAAAATACAAGGGATGTAAAAAATTTGTTATGGTTCTTTTTTTAAATTTCCACACAATAATGATGAAAGAAAATAAATTTTCATTTAAGTTCTATGCATATTTCTAATATAACAGTTTAGCGAAAGTATTTTACTATTTATTTTCAAAATATTAGTAGGTGTGCATTTTATGTTCACATTGAGATAAAAATATTTAAAACATAAACATAAGGCGCTACATGATAATAATCATATCCCAAATAAATTTATGTTTTTAAGGTCATTTAAATTCTGAAGAAAATATTCATATATTCTATACATAATCAACACAAATAAAATAAATATGTTTTTAATTTTTATATTATGTAAAAATTTATAATATTCATCAAACAGATGAACTAAAAATGTATAGCATATATCTCGTTTAAATCTTGCATTAATTCTGGTAAATAATCAAGTCTATTTCATTTTATAACAATAATAAATTATGTAAACAACTTGTACTTCTTTTAATTAAACTTAGCTAATATTTTTAAATACTTTAGTATTTATATATAAATATATTTTATAATCATAATATAAAATTAAAATTTTTCAATGTTAAAATTTAAAAATTGTTAAATTTTATATAAAAATATATCTTCATAAGAAAAACTCATAAATCCGACAATGAATGCGCATGCACCCACTCTTATCAATAGATTTTTCGCTACTGATCACACAGTAATGTACGTAAATTAATAATAAATATTATTCACCACATACATTTAGAGCGGATGCGCGCACATCCTCCCTTATCAACAGATTTATTGTTACTAATCAATTAGAAATGCATGCAAGGCAATAATACGTACCACACATTTAAAGGGAATGCGCGTACACCCTTCCTCATCAACATATTTTTTGGCATTAAATTTAAAAATTAAGTCTTCGGAGAGAAACACAATTTATCATGGATCACTTAAGTGCTGCCGTATAAAAAAGTGAATTGGTAGTAGCTTCAATCTTTGTTATTAATTTCACATCAAAACGGTATTTAATGCTATTATATCAAAATTGTTTTTGAAATAATGTTTTACATGCTCAAAAAATATATAAGAAAATATAACTCACTAAATAAGAAATATTCAAAACTGTTCTTTTTATTTAATTAAAATATTTGCTTCTACAAAAGTTTGTTGCCAAACATTATAAATTGAAATACTATAAAATTCATATGAAAAAAGCAACAAAAATTAATTTACTGAATATATATTACATGATTAAGTAAACTAAGCTGATTTAAATTAATTGATTTAAATTATTATATATTAATTTATATATTTATTTATCATATATTATTTGTTACAATATATATTTTGTTTACGTAATGTGATATTATTAACCAAATAAGGAAGCATAAGTTTTTTATATTACTAAAAAGTTAACATATGATTAGCAAGTAGCAGCAAATTATTATACTGCAACCCTAAAAAGAGAGCAATTTGATGTTATCGTGGTAAGATCACATGTATTTAATACGTGTGTCGAAATGTTATAAAAAATAAGTTTTCAAAAACAATTTCAAATGCACTCTCACGAAGTGGGCGGAGTTTCCGTTCTTGTAAAGATATTCTTTGTACATGTGCGTGCAAATATGTACCATTTCTAGATTTTTCTTAAAATAAACTTTTTCAAAAATATTCATATATATCAATATATGGATTTATTTTTTGTGTAACTCAAAAAATACTCATAACATTTTTAATTTCTGAGAACCAATATAGATTTCTTAAAATTCTATTAATATTATGTACGGTTTTTAGTTTATTTTAATAAAATAATTACTTATTTGTTACTAACATCCCTGTGTTTCCTAGCAACGTTGCTAACTTGTCACTAAATAGTTTTGTTTATATTCCTTAGTCTAATGAAAGGCGATATCAGAAAAAATGTATGTCGCTCTTGTGAAACAATTTGTGCAGCGGTCGTTGACAACTAATATCCCGTTATGTGCTGGTCGACAAGTTGGACTTGCAGGAAAGTGAGTAATAATTATTTTATTATGTTAGGTATGAACCTTATTTTTCGTTAAAGCCGAATATGGACTGATAGTCAAATTCTTATGTAACAATATTATAAATGTCATGCACAGTATTTAACAATATAATCATTTTTTGTATATTAATGTGTAAGGAGTAGTCAATTTCGTGCAGCTTCAAAATGGTATCCGGATCCGGAGTTTATGAAGCAATTCAGCGGACCCGTAATGTACCCAGATACAGATGCTTCCTTATGGAAGTTGCCACCATGGAATAGTAAATATTGTCTTTATTATTAATACGGATATATGCAATGATAAGCAATTTCAAATAGATAAAATTATTCCGGTGGAAAAATCAGTACGTAACCTGACCTTAAATTTTGGTCCTCAGCATCCAGCTGCTCATGGCGTACTGCGTTTGGTTTTGGAACTCGATGGAGAGGTTAGTTAGTATATTGTCTTATTTTTAATGTGTTAATTATTTTGTCACAAAGACTGTTGTGAGAGCCGATCCTCATATTGGACTGTTGCATAGGGGCACTGAAAAACTAATTGAATATAAAACTTACACCCAAGCTCTGCCATATTTTGATAGATTGGATTACGTTTCAATGATGTGTAATGAACAGTGCTACTCAATGGCAGTGGAAAAATTGCTAAATATAGAAGTTCCTCTACGTGCAAAATATATTAGAAGTAAGTTGTAAATTAAATTTTTTTACTTTGATAATATAATAAATTCACAAAGCAACAAAATAGTTGTGTAATGTAATTTTCAGAATTAAAATGAAAGATGGGTTCAATAATTCATTATATATTGTTTTAGCGTTATTTGCTGAAGTAACACGTATTCTTAATCACATAATGGCTATTGGAACACATGCTCTAGATGTAGGTGCTTTAACACCATTTTTCTGGCTTTTTGAAGAACGTGAAAAATTGATGGAATTCTATGAACGTGTGTCTGGAGCACGGATGCATGCTGCTTATATACGTCCTGGTGGTGTCTCTTTGGTAAATAACTTTAAAACTTCGTATACAAATTAATAACATGCTTGTAAAATTAGGATATGCCTTTAGGCTTAATGGACGATATTTACGAATTTGCTGCTAAGTTTGCCGAACGTCTAGATGAGGTGGAAGATGTATTAACTACAAATCGAATATGGGTTCAACGAACAATGGATATTGGTATTGTATCAGCTGAAGAGGCACTTAATTATGGTTTTAGTGGTGTAATGCTACGCGGATCAGGGATAAAATGGGACTTACGTAAGCAGCAACCATATGACGCGTATGATTTGGTTGAATTTGACGTTCCAATTGGTACAAAGGGTGATTGCTATGACCGATATCTTTGCCGAATAGAAGAAATGCGACAGTCTTTACGGATTATTGAGCAATGCCTAAACCAAATGCCAGCTGGTGAAATAAAAACTGATGATGCGAAAGTTGTGCCACCTTGTCGGACTGAAATGAAAACGTCAATGGAAGCCTTAATTCATCACTTTAAATTATTTACACAAGGTTACCAAGTACCTCCAGGTGTAACATATACTGCAATTGAGGCACCAAAAGGGGAATTCGGAGTTTATTTGGTATCAGACGGTAGTAGTAGACCTTATCGATGTAAAATTAAGGCTCCCGGTTTCGCACATTTAGCAGCGCTTAATAAAATTGGAAAACAACATATGTTGGCTGATATAGTCGCTATAATTGGCACATTGGATGTTGTGTTTGGTGAAATCGATCGTTAAATTAATTCTCACTGTATATGTTATTAAAATTTTTTGAAATGAAAAAACGTGAAAACACGTAATATTAATAAATGAAGAATTCCTAGATGCTAAACAAGATAAAACTTTTCTATTAATATTTTTGCATATACTGAATGATTATAAATGATAAAATATTTAAAAAAAAAATATTTTAAAATGTTTCAAAAAATTATGGCTGGACATTTGTTAAAAATTTCACAAGAGGTGAATACCAATCTTTTGATCGCTTGTTTTGCTACTCTTTATGATAAAAGTACCGTTATCTCGGCTGTTTTTTGCAGAAATGCAACGAAATTTGGCAAAAACATTGTGCATTGAATGTTATAAAAAAACAATAAAATATGTTTCCAATAAATTTATTTTTTTGGAAAATATTTTCAAACAAAAATTTTTGTAGTGTCTGCTTGTAGACTTATGACTCTGACTGTATATACAAATTCATTATGAATGTGCGTGCATTACATATTTAAAATAACTAAATAATAAAAGACCATTTTAAAGTTTTGGTTAAATTTTGGCTTTTGAGAAATTATTATTCTGTTTATGGGTCAATATTATACAATGTTGTTTGATATAATACACATTTTAAATTTTATACAGTTTAAACAATTTTAAAAGCAAAAAAAGTCTGCTTTCACTTCTTAATATTTAAAATAAAACAATTAAAATTCACAGATATATTATATTTAACAACCTATGGGATAACCTCTGCTCTTAATAACCTCTTTTAAGCGTCTTTGCATGGATTCAACCAGCTTTGCAGTAGCCTGTGTTATTTTTAGCCATTCATCCTTGATGACGTTTCTTACTATATTCTTGCTGGAAAACATATGCTGGCGAATCTTATTTTCGAAATAAACTCACAGATTTTCTATAGGACTAAGGTCTGGTGGTTCTGGTAGTGTTTGAAGTTGCGTAAGAGCATAGTACAGCATCCAAATCCGTACGATGGGTGCTGTATGCTTAGAGTCGTTGTCTTGCTGAAACAAAAAGGTTGCCTCGAATCCTAACATTCTGGCATTTTCTTTCAAATTAGCATATTGTTTTTAGCATATTTAGATACCCATATTTCTCCATTGTATCTTGTACAAATTTAAGTCTGACAGCACCATTACTTGCTATACACCACTAAATCATTACGCCTTCACCACCACGTTTTACTGGTTACAGTTTATCATAGGCTGTGCATAATTTTCTCTATGCAAGTTTTCTAACTTTGATGTCAAAAATGTAAAATTAACTCGCATTGGAGAAAATGACTCATTTCCAGAACTTTATAGGTTTATTTATATGCTTTCTTGCAAAGCTTAATCATTTTATTCTATTATATCTTGATATGTATGACTTCTTTCCTGCAATCAGGGTATAATACATGCATTTCTTCAAATTTTTGCGCACAGTATCAGGACATATTTTGTTTTCAAGTATTCCGGCAATCTGCTCAGCTAGTTTGAAGGCTGTTACTCTTGGATTTACTTTCACCTGGTTGATTATGCTGCGTCTTTCTCTATTTGACAGAATTGAGGGACGGCCAGTGCTAAATTTAGAAACGTAATTACCTGTCCGTGGAAGTTATTAATAACTCTCTGCACAGATGAATATTGACGACCAATATCTTCAGCAATTTTTCGTTGGCTTACATCATCTTTCCAAAATTTAACAGTTATTTGTTGCTCACTAACACTAATGCTTGCAAGAGAATTAAAATTAACGGTAAATCTATATATTAAGAAGTGATGGCAGATTTTTTCTGCTTCAAAATAATTGCTTTTGCACATTTTATTGAACTTTTGTTGTTGTTACTTTGGTTAAAATAAATCAGAAAATAAAAATCAATTTTAGTAAAAATTAAAAAAGTTGTGTGGAATTCAAGAAAAATTTTGTGGGTGACCGCAGACTTTTTCTACTGTGTGTATATATACACATGTAATATATATATGTATGTGGCTAGTTTGCCACACAATGTTTATTTCTTACTACTAATGAATTATTTACAAACTTAATGTCAATTATTTACACGATAATGAAAAATAAATTAAAATAAAATATGTTGTTGGTTCTTTACAAACGGTGGTTGTTAACACATGGCGCGTCGTTGAAACAAACTAGCGCACTATATGGCGCTGGTCTGTGTGATGGTCTGCGTGTGACGGATTCGCTACAGTACTCCCCCTTATAGCTGAACTGGTGGTCTGGCTTGCTGATTGCTAAGTGGGCATCAAAAGTCAAAGGTTACGTTCTTTTTTTGTCGGACCAGTTGTTCCTCTTTCGTGGGTTTGCCACTGTAAGGCCCAAATTTTATTCTAAAATTTAACCCCACAAATCAAATGAATAGTCAAATATGAGTTTTAAATTCACTTAGTAAAAACATGTTTCTAAATTCAATAAAATTTTCCTACAGTAACATCCATTTTTATTATAAACAAATGACCCTGTAAATTTCATATTAGAGACAAACATTTTGTATAAACGAATGACCCTGTAAAGTAAAATATGTTTTGATTAATTTTTTGCCGCTAATAAAAGTTAGTTAAATTTGTTGTAACTATTTCACTTGTTTGTCTGCATAAACAAATTTAAGAAAATATCGTGCACGCATTTTTTATATGATGCAGTTATTTTATTGAATTTGATTGCAATGCGTACAACAATAAGAAATTTGTTTTGACAAATTTACGGGACCTTGTTTACTTGAAGATAATTTTTGTTTTTGCCTGTAATGGAGGGAATTTCAAATAAAAGGGCAGCGAAATTGCCAAATCGTTCTATTCGGAATTTCTCCTGTTACAGGTAAGAACTATTTTGTTAGGGACGATAGTGGGAGCTCGGACTAGTTGGTCCAGGCACATGTTGATTCGTTTGGCCATTGCTGACGATCACCATGTGAATGGATGGACTGGATTGGGCGAAGTGACGGTGGTTGAATTACCTTCTGCTTGGCTTATGCTGGCGTAGGGTAGTTTAACCAGTTGAGTTACCTGATGCTTGGCTTTTGCTGGCGTAGGGTAATTTAACTAGTCATCCAGACTTCCATTTGGCCATAGCTGATGGAGGAATGGGCGACGAGTCACCAACACTGTAAGAAGGCGTGTGGACAACGAGCGTTTGGCAATTGCTGACGGACGTGGCCAGGCGGAACAGTAGGAAGGAACCCTTGTCTGGCTTTTGCTGACAAAGGTATTGCTTTATATTGATATTAGAGTTTCTAGAGATTAGCTATTCGGAATTTCTCCTGTTACAGGTTAGCAACTTGCGCACCACTGCAAGCAATCGTCATACGACATTTCACAACATTCTACACCGTTTACAACATCGTTACAACATTTATAACACCATACAACATTTTACAACATGCTACACCGTCTACAACATCATTACAACATTCTACATCATTAGCAACATTTTCAACATCGCTTTCCACAAATTGATTATATTTTCTTATTTTTTGTTAAATAATAAACGCTACTTTAAACAGAAGTGTCTCTATTATTTTACTTAGATAAATTTTCTTATAACGAACCCTGGTATACTCGCTGAGTATACCCCAGCTATAGATAGGGCCGGGAAAAGGTCGTTACAAGTGGCGCCCGAGCAGGGACCGTGTAAAATCAAAGGAGCCAAAGATACCTGTATTGTGATTAAAATTCGTAAGTAACATTCAACGATACGGAAAAAAAAAAAAACAAAACGCACAGAACAACAGACATGCTAAAAACAAGTTGGATAAGGTTTGCACGTAAAGAGGATCTAGTACCAATACTGGAGAAACTGGAAGAAGATGCTACGGGGACAGTCGATGAACTCCGCAAACGTTTAAGGGATATCGCAACAGACGAAAACCATCCGGAGGAGTTGGTGAAACTATTCAACGAAATGGAGAAAAAATACGGACGCAATGTTTCCCCAAAACCAACAACGGCAACAATCGTTACACCTTGTGAAGAAGACAATAACACCACCCCTGTAAAGAGTTTTGAAAGCATTGCCAAAGTCATGGATCAGGTACGTAAGTGGGTAGTACACAACGATGGTCTATCCAATATTATGGAGTTTGTTGAGAGACTTGAAGAGTTGGCAGAGGCGTACCAGATTCCCTTAGATGTGTTACCCAAAGCAATGCCCGAGTTATTAACAGGTCAGGCGTTAGTATGGTATCGGAATAACAACCGAAGGTGGTTATGTTGGACGTCTTTCAAGGAAGACTTTTTGCAATTCTTTCTTCCTATTCATTATTTAGAGAAATTAGAAGATGACATACGCTGCCGGAAACAAATACCACAGGAGGGTTTTAAGAAGTACGTACTAGGTCTACAGGAGCTCATGCGGCAGGCTAGTTACCCATCTGGGAGGCAATTGGAACGAATATATAGAAATAGTCTGCCAGATTACCAACTGCATATCAAGCGACGTGAATTTTCCACATTGTCCGAACTGATTCAACTTGCCGAAGAATTTGAAAACCTCCAACAAATGATCCACAAAGAGCGAATGGGTGTCGTACGGAACGCAAGGGGACCTCATGAACACAAAATATCACAACACACAGAGAGAATCAACGTCCACCTCGCATGCAAAAGGTGTAGTGAACCAGGACACTTTGCATATACGTGTAGAAGGCCGCAAGTACTATTCTGCTGGGTTTGTGGCACACGAGGAGTAAGGACTAAGGAATGCTGTAAACAAAATCGTAACGTAAGCAAACAGGGAAACCAACAAGAGACTGTCCGAACGAGGGGACAGGCAGTCTCCCATGCAGTACAAGTTCCCCAATAAACAGTCTATCATACAACCAGCACACGATATCGGCGGCGGTTACCATTGGAACAACGGCAGTAACGGCCACTATCGACACTGGTGCATCTAGAAGTATCATCGCTGGAAGTCTCCTAAGGGATCAACACAGTTTTGGGAGAGTCACACCTACGAGTATGGTCATCTTACTAGCTGATGGTACGACGCAGCACATTTCATACGTATTAGACAGCCAGGTTACCTTCGGTGATAGGTCTTTCGATCTATCTTTTCTCATCATGGAAAGATCAATTGACAACGTGATTCTGGGTATGGATTTCCTCGCGC